GAGGAGGAAAAAAGCTCGCTTGGAAAAGATTCCATGAAAATTCTGCACCGACGTTTCTCGTAATGGCCGCTGATTCTTATTTCTTTGCCATTTTCACGAACGACTCGTGTAACTTGCGCTTTGCGTATAAGCCCTTCCTTTTCTTTTTTTTTTTTTTTATACTCTGGAAGAAGGAGACGCCTCTAAAGGGAAAGAGAAAGAGAGAGAGAGAGAGAGAGAAGAGGCTATAGTCGAATAACAGCTTGCTGCTGGTATACTGCTTGTTACTTTGGCCGATTAATTTGCGTGAAACGACATTGGGCGTCTTTCGACTAGACTGCTAGAATTAGTAGATTTGTGCATTAAACGGAACGAAAAGTGATATCATAAGATACGCGGACAGATATAAAAATGTATTTGTCCTATCCGATTTCAATCTTATCCTAACTTGTCGCCAACGACGACTTTAATCTTCTTATTGGTTTGTCTCTTATCTCAGAAAGAGAGAGAGAGGGAGAGAGAGGGAGAGAGAGAGAGAGAGAGAGAAAGAGAGAGAAAAAAGAAAAAAAAGAAAGAAAGAAAAAGAAAAGAGAAAAACTTTCATTGATACAATATCAAAGAAGAAGCCGAAGGAAAAAAGAAAAAGACCTTAAATCAAGTTCAAAGAGTTAATTATAATAATTATTATAATAAAAGCAAACGGCGTTTTTGTTTGAATGTTTAAAGAAGAAGAAAAGAAAAGAAAAGGGGAAGAAAAAAAAAAAGAAAAAAGAAAAAAGGAAATTATTTTTTTCCACCATCGTTACGATTCGTCAACGAACATTTTATTTACCTAACGATAAGAGTCCTTTCGCGTATTTTGACATGCATTTGAACGAACGTAAAATTCGACCCCGGATGACAACATTGATAGGGGGAGAGGATTCCCGGAGAGGAATCGCCGGTTATCTCGAACCTCAGAGACGATAAAATCGTGAACGTTATATCGTGATAAAAATACAGGGCCGCGATATTTTCTATCGGGCGATCTCTCGCAGCAGCCCGTTGACATCGAATTCATGTGGCGATTCGAGCGAAAGTCGATCGTTGATCGCATTGCGGCAATGCGTGCTCGTTCGGTCGGCAAAAATTACTCACTCTCTCTCTCTCTCTCTCTCTCTCTCTCTCTCTCTCTCTGTGTGTGTATGTGTGTGTGTCTCTCTCTCTCTCTTTTTCCCTTTTCTCTTCGTGAGGACGTAAAAGCGAGGATTAAACGATATTTGATGGTAGCAATCAGAGTGTAGCGAAAACAAGAGAAAATAAAGAGAAAGAGAGAGAGAGAGAGAGAGAGGGAGAGAGAGAAAAGATCAAACAAAACGAGCAGAAAACAAAAAACGAAAAAAAAAATATATATATATACATACATACATACATACATATATACATACATGTAATAATATGTGATATAAATCTTTTAACATTATTTTCTCTTAATAAAAATCATCCATTTCGATGATGACGATCAACAACGAGGATGATTAAAACAATGGGATAGATTGTTAACCATAGTTAAACTTGCTCTATGTTTTCTCACTTTCCTCTCCCCTTTTCTCTCTCTCTCTCTCTCTCTCTCTCTCTCTCTCTTTCAATTTGTCTCGATATCTCTCGTTACACTCGTATATTATACATTCGTTGCATCATTACATGCTTCGGTTAACGATAAATCCGATTATACCGTATATAACGACGTGGCTTTGATATGTATGCTATACGATCATGGTATATGATGATATCGATACATTCAATAATGAGGTTACAGGGTCTCTGGTTATTGTTACTTACCCATGGGATGAGGATTTGTCGTAAATGGCCTTACTGGCTCATATTGATATTGAGGAAAGATATAGGAAAAAAAAAAAAAAGAAGGAAAAAAGAAAAAAGGAAACAAAAGAGAAAAACAATAATATGAAAAAAAAAAAGGAAAAGAAAAAAGAAAAAAGAAGAATTATTTATCACGAACAATTCGAAAAATTTAATTTCTATGGGATAAAGTGGCCGAATAAAATTTCAGGTAAACGTCGAATCCAATTATCCTATGGGATAATTGGATTACTATGTAGAGGAGAACCTGCAATTAGAGAAAGGAGACGAAGAGATATAATAATGATGATGATGATGATGAGGACAACGATAAGAGAGAGAGAGAGAGAGAGAGAGAGAGAGAGGATTGAATTTTTTTCTTTTTCTTTATCTATTTTTTCCTTCATTTCGAAACGATCGACAGAAAAATTAATTTAGAAAGCATTTTCGATCTAATATTTTAGATCAAAATACGTGGTTATGGTACGCGCCTTAAGCTTAAACTCGGCGAAATTTTCTTTTACTTTTCCCTCATTTTTTCACCTCTTTCCTTTTTATTTTTGACAACGGTTAGGTATTTCACGATGCATTTTAATATCTCTCTCTCTCTGTCTCTCTCTCTCTCTCTCTCTCTCTCTTTCTCTCTTGAGGCTACGTCAAAACCCTCCGGTACAAATCGATTCGAACAACAGCGACGACAGATAGACAGGCGTCGATCGAAAATTAAAAGCGAGAGGAAAAACGTAGTAGTAGAAACGAATAATAAAAATGAAAAGAGAGAAAGAGAAAGAGAGAGAAAGAAAAAGAGAGAAAGAGAGAGAGAAAGAAAAGGAGAGAGAAAGAGAGAATCCCAGATAACGATTTCACACCTAAAACATGGACGGGGGAAAGAGGGAGGAAGAGGGGAAGGTTCCATGGCATATTACCGCACCTGTGGGAATGCGTTCACCTGGCCGATATCAGCTTTATAACAAATAAATTGAAATCGCGAAAGAGAGAATCGAATGTGAAGTGCTGTCCGTGATTTACGAGCTGAAACCGTACTGCTGGCCGATGGAAAAACGGCATTGACACGAGATATTCACCGATATCGTATGGGAATGTGAAAAAGTAAGCGAGAAAAGGATAAATAGAGATAGGAGTAACAAATCGAGAGAGAAATAAAGAGAGAGAGAGAGAGAGAGAGAGAGAGAAGAAGAAGAAGAAGAAAAGTAATATCGACGAGAATAAGTTTGAGCTTTGATGGAGGAAAGAGAAAAAGGATGAATGGAGAGAAAGAGAGAAAGAGAGAGAGAAAGAGAGAGAGACATAGGAGGAAGATATGGGATAAAAATGGGAGGTAAGAAAAAATTGGGGAGGATGGGGGGAGGGGGCAGCATGGAATGAAGAAAAAAATTGGTAAATCGACTTAACGTGAAAGACGAACACGATCGACGATTGCCGTCAATATCACGCATTTCTTTCTTTCTTTTCTTCCTTTTTCCTTCTCTTGCATTTCTATCTTCCTTTTCTTTTTTCCATCTCTCTCTCTCTCTCTCTCTCTCTCTCTCTCTCTCTCTCTCTTTCTCTCTCTATCTCTATCTCTATACCTATTTTCTCGTATCGAAAATAGAACATTGAGAAACAACGAACGGCGCAAAAAAATATCCCTCGAAGCGAAGTTGGAATCGAATTAAAAAAGCTGCCCGAGCCAATTAAGGCATTTCGTAAAAGTTTAAGAGATTCTTTACGCGGGAGAGACCAAGCTTTTTCTCGATGCGCGCTCAGAGAGAGAGAGACAGAGAGAAAGATGGCTTTACCTTCTTCCTCCTTCTCCATTAAGGGCCATTAAGCTGCTCGTTCTACCATATAAACAGAAAACGAGGAAGAGGAAAGGAAAGGCAGAAAAGAAGAAACAGAGAGTGATATACATAGAGAGAGAGAGAGAGAGAGAGAGAGAGAGAGAGAGAGAGAGAGAGAGAGAGAGAGAATAAAGAAGGGAAAATGAAAGAGAGGGAACAAGTTAAAAGGTAGAGAGTATGATCCTCCTTTAATTACGAAAATAAGAAGAACAATGCAAAAATTTTGCGACGTTTTCTTTATTTTTCTTTTACTTTTTTCCTTTCTTTCTTCTTTTCCTTTCTTTTTTCCATTTTTCTTTTCTTTTTTTTTTTCTTTTTTCTTTAAATAACTACGAACAAATCCTAATAGATATTATTTTTTTTCCTAGCTCGTTAAAAAGTCATTACGCTTATTTTTTTTTCTCTTTCGGAAAGTATTAAAAATAAATCTATTTCTTTAAAACTCATGAATATCGATCTATGTATCCCTGCCAATGCAAACTTTTGCGCTTTAGAGAAAGATCGACAGATAATGAAAGAGAGGAAGAGAGGAAGAGAGAAAGAGAGAGAGAGAGAGAGAGAGATCGTTTAAGGAGGATACTTAAATCAGTAAATAGTTTTAAAGCTGTTATCCCCATTGAATCCATCGGGAACACGGAAATTTCGGTTCAAGTCTACGCGTTTCCCTTTTGCCTTTCGCCAGAGCCCTTCTAAACTGGTGGCAGCTGTTCCGAAAGCCCTTTTCAAATATTAAACACCGACTTCGTTCATTCTCCCCTGGCCCTTCTCCTATCCTTCCCTTTCTTTCCTTTCTCTCTCTCTCTCTCTCTCTCTCTCTCTCTCTCTCTTTCTCTCTTTCTTTCTCTGCACGTTCTCGTCTCTTGATAACGTTAATAGCCGTCAGATAGTGTCATCCGGAGAAAATTGTGTTAAACGAAGACGGATACGAACGGAGATAGATAGATATATATATATATATATATATATATATATATATATATATATATATAGAGAGAGAGAGAGAGAGAGAGAGAGAGAGAAAAGGAGAAAGAAATTTCTTCTTCGTCAAAATTTTCTAAGTAAGACGCAATTCAAAGATTAGACACATTGGACGATTAATGGCACATAGAGAAAGCGCTTTGTTAGAAATTAGAAAAAAAAAAAAAAGAAAAAAAAAAAGAAAGAATCTTTCCGACACTCCTGACTCTCCCACGCAACGAGTCTTGCTTTTCGATTTTTTCCTCTCTTTCATTTCTTTCATTCTTTATCTTTGTTTTTCCTTTTTTTTTTCTTTTTTTTTTTTTTTGGTTACATCGCACTTGTTTCGAACGAAACAAATTGCAAAAAATAATAATGACTTACCTTCGTAAACGGTGAGCTGAGCCTCGGCGGATACCGCATCGCCGACTCCGTTTTCCGCAACGCACTCGTATGTTGTACTGTCTCGTGCCGTTTTGACAGGTTCGATCCGTAGTAAAGCTCCATGCTCGTACGTATGTACCAGGTATCGTGACTGGGATTCTGCGACAGTAGTAAAGCGATCGTGAGTCAAGAAAATAAAGTATAACAACGATAAGTACATAAGACATATACTCGTATACGTGTTTATGTGTCTCAGTGTGTGATAAACGTCGTGTCGTTAAAACACCTCCTTAAGGTTTTCACGTAGGGGAAAAAAAAAGAAAAAAAAAAGAAGTGAAAAAAGAGAACAAGAATAAAAAAAGAAGAACAAAACAAAGACAATGAAAGAACCTTGTCGGGGAACGAATAATGGGGTTAAAAAAATATATATATATATATAACGAATAAATGAAAAAAAAAAAAAAATACATAATAAGAAATAAAATTGAAAGAAAAAAAAGAGAGAGATAAGAAAAATATAAAATATAATTAGATAAATATAAATAAATAAATTAATTAATTAAAAAGTTTAATGAGAAAACAAAGACAATGTACAATGAAGAGAAAGATAGATAGAGAGAGAAATAGAGAGAGAGAGAGAGAGAGAGAGAGAGAAATAGAGAGAGAGAGAGAGAGAGAGAGAGAGAGAGAGTGTCGGATGTTGAAAAATAGAACTAATGGGACGAAGAGATCGAGTTAACTGGATCGACGGCGAACGATCTACAAGATTGCACGAGAAGGTTCGAAGCAGTTACAAGCTATCATCTTCCTCCCACGAGATTAACGAGCTACCTGCCGCCGACTGCTTCGCTTGCCTGCATACGATAAGTGGATTGACAAATGCGATTTCACGTGATTATCCAACCTTCGATGATCCTCATAGGATTAGTTCGAAGGCAGTTACTCCGCAAGCAAAGCGGATAAAGATAGAGATAGAGATAGAGAGAAGGAGAGATGGAGAGGGAGGGAGGGAAGAAAGTGAGAGGAGAGAGAGAGAGAGAGAGAGAAACATACTGCAATATTCTTCGATCAATCTCGTTAAATTCACGCTCTTTTTTTTCCCACTTACTTTTCTATCTATTTTTTCTTTTCTATATTTTACTTATATTCGTGACGAACTTTTTCATAGATCGATCGATAATCCCATTTCGTAAATCATTCATGTAACTAATAATTTAGGGACTTTCATGATTGATCTAAATTAATGTTTAATTGTTATTTTGATCATTGAAATTCGATAACGTTCATTGATAAAAAGAAAGAAAGGAAAAAAAAAAAACAAAAAAAAAAAAAAGAGAAACAAAAAGAAGATACGTGTCATAAATCAGTCGTTTTACTTCATCATAAAATAACAATGCTTGATCGATCGTATTAAAACAAAGTAGAAGAAAATAAAATAAAACAAAACAAAAATAAAACAAATAAAGAATCTTCGTTCGTACGCGTTAATATGTATGTAAATATAATAAATCGTATAATATTATCGTACGATATACTATTATCTTTATTCTTTTTTCTTTCCCCTTGAGAAAAAGAAACAAACGTCGTATCGTAACGTTATCAATCGTTTATTAAAATTAAATCGGAGAACGATGTATCCATACATACATACACACATACACACGATATATATATATATATATATATATAATATCGGAGAGAGCGAACTACGAAAGGTAAGCGATAATGTGTCCGTTCTGGAAACTCGTGCTTGACATCTACGTGTGGTATAATGTTTAGTATGTTCAATGTGTAATGGTACGCGCGACGAGCCAAAGTACCTCGGTAACTCGAAACGATATACAGATAAATCAATAGTCGACTGTACGTACCACGTATATACATACAGATAGATACATACATACATAGATAGATAGATAGATAGATAGATACATACGTACATAGATACTCTCGAGACTCCTGAAAATAATGAACCAAAACTGGAACTCCGAAGGGAACTCGTACTTCGTAGAGAAGAGAGAGAAAGAGAGAAAGAGAGAGAGGGAGAGAGAGAGAGAAAGAGAAAGAGAAAGATAGAGACAGAGATATGTATATATATATATACACTCTTTCACTATGTCGCTCCGTATTGTTCGGAGTCCAACGAACAACTGACTACCTATTGTTTACTTCGACACGGAATAGTAGGGTGGCTCTTAAGCTAATGTTTACATTCAGATTCGTATGATGCGTATTACTTACGCACGCGTTCCTACGTATTACACACACACATATATATATATATATATATAATACATACACGCATAAGCGGTATAAATATTATTATGCAACGTTTACGTTGATCGTTAAAATGATTATATTATTGTCACTGACGACTTCTCGAGAAATATTACAAATGAGCATTTACAAACATACATTGAGAATAGAATAGACGTTACGCGTGGATAGATACGTATCTATTTTTAATGTCAATGAAAATTATGACGATTAATGAATGGGATGTTTATTATTTGATCGTTCAATTGTAAATTTATTGAAATGATAAACGAAAGAAAATAATGATAAACGATTAAAAAGAACGTAAAAGAGAGAGAGAGAGAGAGAGAGAGAGAGAGGAGGGGAATGGTAAAGAGAGATAGAGAATATCATAGTTTGGCTGTCTTGAGAATTACGGAAACAACACCTGCCACGTCCCACCTGCACATTCTCGACACTCGACACTCGACACTCGGTTTGCAAGAAGAGCAAGCAAGTGCGAAATCTAATTCGGAAGAGACAGATTGCACTTGTAAAATAAAGAGAGAAAGAGAGAGAGAGAATGAACGAGAGAGAGAGAGAGAGAGAGAGAGAGAGAGAGAGAATGAAAGAGGAGTGATTGCTGGGTTGCTTGCGAAATGCCCTCCTATCTGTCGTGAGTTTATCGTCGAGAAAAAAGAAAAAAAAAGAAAGAGAGAGAGAAGCAGATAGACAGAGAGACAGACAGAGAGAGAGAGAGAGAGAGAGAGAGAGAGAGAGAGAGAGATATCAACGCTAGGTCGATTTTTCAGAAGGATAGGATTAAAGAGAAAGGATAGAAATAAAATTAAAAGAAAGAAAGAAAAAAAGAAAAAAAAAAGTAGAATAAAAAAGAAAGAAGAAAAGTAAAAAAAAAAGAGAAAACGAAGACACTTAAAATTCCTTAATCTCTCAATGGAATTTCCATTGAACCGTTCAGTACCATTCGGATTGTACATTTCGTTCGAGCATTTTCTTTCTCGGGGCTCGAAAAAGTTTCATTTCCAACGGCAAATTCGCAACGCAGCTTCATTCGATTCGAACTAATGTAAGAGGAGGAGGTAGAAGAAGAAGAAGAAGAAGAAGAAGAAGAAAAGGAGGAGGAGGTAGAGGAGATGGAGAAAGAGAGATGGGGGGGGGGGGGTAGAGAGATGGAAAGGGGAAGGAAGGAAAAAAGAAGAAAAGGAGAAAGGATTAGCCGAGTAGAAACGAGTGGTCCGATGGTTGCTCTCGAAAGGGGCCACTTTTCAACGGAAGAAGTTATATCGAGGAAGAGAGAAGGAGAAGAATGGGGGAGGGGAGGGGGTGGGACGGGGATGGAGGAGGAAAAGCAAAAAGCAAGAAAAAAAAAAAAAAAGAAAAGAAAAAGAAAAAAAAAGAAGAAGAGAACAGCAGACTTACGCGAAATTCTCTTGCCGTTTTTCCTCCAGTGTATTTGGGGGGGCGGTGCTCCTTGAGCCGTGCAAAAGAAACTCGCTATTCCACCTGCCTTCACCTGCTGCGATTGAGGCCTCACCAGGATCGTCGGTGGATCTATGAACAAAGAAGAAGAGAAAAAAAAACACATTGGTGAGTACAAAAACTGAATAAATGATTTTCGTATATTAATAACAGGATCTATTTCAGGACGACGATGATGAACGAAAAGTGAGACGAAATAAAAAGGCGAGGGGTGGAGCGGGGGAGACGGAAGGGTGGGACACACGTTTATGTATAAAAAAAAAAGAAAGAAAAAAAGAAAGAAAAAAAAAATAAAAAAGAAACAAATAACAAATATTAAAGTTTCATCTCTCTGTCCCTTTTAACGCGCGACAAGAGAAAAGAAGAGAGACGCAAATGCGTGGCCGATCTATCATCGATCGATATCTAACATCAATACTTTCTATCGTTTTCTTTCAATTACATTTTTTTTCTTTTTTCTTTTCTTTTCCCCTTTCTTTCTTTTTCTGTTCCCCCTCCCCCCCCTTTCCTTCACCCTTCCTCTTCATCTTGTTTCGTTAACGCTTACTAACGTTTCTAATATTAGATATTAACGTACGACAGAGATCTCGAATATAAACGAATTACAATGGACAAAGCGAAAAAAGAATGAATTAAATTTGAACCCTTTGCCTTGGGTATAACTTTTATGGCATAGGAAAAAAAGCAAAAGAAAAAGAGAAAAAGCACACACACAAAAAAAAAAAGAAGTAAAAAGAAGAGAGAACAACGAAAATAAAAAGGGGGAAAAAAAGAAGAAGAAGAAGAAGAAGAATTCTTCCAACCACAGCGACGATAGAACAGAAAGAGAGAGAGAGAGAGAGAGAGAGTTAGAAAATTGGCTTTCAGTTATACGAAGGTATCGCGGTTGACACACTAATCGATGAAACGAGACGGCTTCAAAAATCGATCCTCGGAATCGTTTGGAAGGACGAAAGCGCCGGACGATTTTATCGACGCCGGACACAGCCGGCCGGACGCGGCTACTCACGGGGTTGGCCGCCCATTCTCTTTCTCTCTCTCCATCTCTCTCTTTCTCTCGGTGAGCGAAATTAGTGGGATTTAGTGCGGCGGAAAGTCCAAACTACCTCGCCACGCTTTTACCCACGAATAAAGAGACGGTCGCGGCAAGATGGATGAACGCGACGCCATCCTTTGTCAGGACTGCGTGGTTTCCATCCCCATTCCACCTCTCTCCTCCTCCTCCTCTCTACCTCTTCCCTTCCACCTCTCAACCCCCCTTTCCAGTCACGAAACGACAAGAGAGAAAGAGAGAGAAAGAGAGAGAGAAAGAGATAGATAGAGAGAGAAAGAGAGAGATACGGTTTCAGTTTATATATGCATACATATATATATATATATATATATATATATATATACATACCTATACATATGTAAGAGAAAGAGATAGAAATAGATAGAGATAGAGAAATGTGAAAAAGGAAAACGGCGTGGAGAGTGAAAGAGCATCGAGATAACTGGGAAAGGGATAAAGAGAGAAAAGATACGATGATATTTGGAACGAGGAAAGATGAGTGAGTGGGTGGGTGGGTGGGTGAGTTGGGTTGAGTGATAGGTAGAAAGAATGGAACGGAGGGTGGAAGGATGGGTGGGAAGTAGGGAGAGAGAGAGAGAGAGAGAGTGAGAGCGACTATACAAAGTAAAGTAGTAAATTGGTCCTGAAACTTGCTGGAGGGGGAGGTGAGAGAGAGCTACCGAAATCGATGGTAAACGTTTATGAACACTTTTTCACAATAGTGGCCGCTTAAATGAATATGCGTGAAGCAGCATTCGTCGGCGTTGCGCGCCGGCGAATGAAGAGAAAAGTGCTTGTTGCCAGAGGTTTGTTGGTTGGATGTGTATGCATGCGCTTTTTATCTCATCACTTTATTGTCGAATACTCGACTCTCTCTCTCTCTCTCTCTCTCTCTCTCTCTCTCTCTCTCTCTTTCTTTCTCTCTCTTTATCTCCATTTCGTTTCACAATGGAACGCCGCGAAAGGATTTTATTGTTTGGCTCCCGCTCAGGATAATGGATGATAATAAAACGTGATTCCCAGTGCGAAGTGCCGAAAGAACAGTTTTATATCAACGATTCGCGCGCTTCGAACTCACTCGAACGTCAAATTCTATGTACGAATGTGTGTACGTATCTTTCTTTCTTTCTCTCACATTCTCATTCTCTCTCTCTTTCTCTCTCTCTCTCTCTCTCTAGCGCGTACATGAAAAATATCGACTCGACGTCATTAAAATATACCTTCGAGAAACCATAAAATGTCTTGGAATTGTCCTATCGTCTCACCTTTTTCGAGTATCGATAAAATCAATTTTATTAGACGTTTTTTCTAATTCTCTCTCTCTCTCTCTCTTTCTCTCTCTCTCTCTCTCTCTCCCTTTCTATCTCTCTTACTCTTTCTTTGGATTAAATCGAAAAGATAATTTTCAAACGTCACGTCGTTTCTAGGAATACGTAATCGGGAAGAACCGAACTGTCGTCGATTAGAAAAATCATTGTCGCATAACGAAGTAACTCCGTTCGTTCGAATTTATATTTTTGTTAATCCAGACTGTTCTCGATGAAGAAATGAAATATTGGTATTATCTTCCTACATATATGCAAAAAAAAAAAAAAAGAAAAAAAAAAACAAAACAACGCATACGATCGAATGAATATTTCGATGATTTGTTGAAAATTTTAATCGAATGTTTAACAATGTCGAAAAATTCAATAAACGACACATAATATTCTCCGATGCCTCGAGCTATGGATCTATGGTTTGTTGTGTCATTATCTAACAAGATACGATATATATCGTTTCGTGCTTTGATCATGATTTCGAAATAAACGAAATATTATTTCTATCTATAATGACACAGTTTATAATTTTTGATCGAATCGTATTCATGGAAAATTTATATTTATATATTTATATATACACATATGCACACGCGCGCACGAATGCATGCGAACACATATACACGTACTATCACTATAGAGAGAAAATGTGCATTGTGGATTCAAACAAATTGCTGCCATTCGTTCGCAACAAGTCCATTAGTCGATTACGTTTATTCTACTTTGTTCGTTTCCCTCGAAAGCACGAAGATAAAGAATATACAGTCAATAATCGAGAAATTCATTCGACCGAATATGTCGAGGAAAATTTTTTTCTATTATAGTATTTATAAAAAAAAAAAAAAATAAAAAAAAGAAAAAAACAATCTATCAGATGTTACAAGAAAAAGCTATATTTCTCTCTCTCTCTCTCTCTCTCTCTCTCTCTCTCTCTCTCTGTCACTCTCCCATATTCAATTCCTCATAATTCTGTCCTTTTCTCGTGAATTATTTAAATATAAACTTCAGACATATCTGAGCATCGAAATGATTTTCTAAATGCTGATTGCGTAAAGGACGAAAATAAAAAAAAAAGAAACAAAAACAGAAAAACAGAAAAAAGATAATACAACTTTGGCTCCGACGATGAAATTAATTATTTTCACGTTCGATACGATTAAGCAGTGAGTAGTAGCGTCTATTTGGGTCGAAGTACCGTGGTTACAAAAATATCGAGTTGCTCTTCCACTATACGAGAGGGGATGATAGGGGTAAGGTAGAGGTCTATAGAGGTCGTATAGGAAGTGGCTGGGGGAGGGGTAAGGAGAAGGGGAGCGACGTGAAAGAGGTAATGCCTGAGAAAAGGTGAGGGCGATGATAAAACTCATTTTCGAAAATTTCAACGTGGTGTAATGGCGTGAGCTCGTTCATTCGAGCTACCTACCTACGTAGCTACCTAGCTAGGTAGGTAGGTAGCTAGCTAGCTAGCTAGCTAGCTAGCTCGCTTGGCCTCGATCGAGCCATTTCGTTCTAAATAGCTTCGAAGACTCTTTCGACATTACGGAGAATCCTTTATGGAGTAAGACCACGCTAGCATGGAGCTACAGAAGAGAGAACGAAAGAGAACAAGAGAGAGAGAGAGAGAGAGAGAGAGAGAGATCGAGGTCAAGCTACGCTCGTTAAAATGTTGCTATATCGTCGAATGAATAGGGTCACTGTATGTACCCCAAAAGCTTAACAATTTTCCAATCGTCTACTCTACTCTATTCTTCTCTTCTTCTCTCTTCTATTTTCATTCTCCATTTCTTCGAACTTTACCAGAGTCGTCTTTTAATAATAGAGGAAAAAAGAAAAAAAAAAAAAAAGAAAAGGAAAAAGAAAAGAAAAAAAACGAAGTGAAGAGTCGTACAAGCTCAATCGTACAATTCGCGTATCATGATCATTAGATCAAAGGAGAAAAATATCAGTATGACGATCCTTGACGTTCATAAAGACGATGCATAAACTTATACAATATTCGTCTTTGAAAAATAATCATTCGACGAATATTGAATGTAGATAGGTGTGTATATATATATATATATATATATATATATATATATATATATATACAAAGAAAACACGATGAAAGCGGTAATAGGATCTCTCTCTCTCTCTCTCTCTCTCTCTCTCTCTTTCTCACCCCTTCTTCCTACCCTTTCCCTCATCCCTTGTTGATCTACGAGTCTCGAATAATAAAACGTGAACGAACGGAATACAAATCGAATCGAATGGTAGGGAAACGTGAAACGCCGAATTAAATCAGCGAATTACATTGCGAATGATAATTCCGCTCATTAAAAGTCGCCTTTATAAAACACACACACACACACATATATATATATATATATATATATATATATATATATACATACATATGTACGAATATACATTCATAGATACGTATAGTTACGTATTAATTTGTTTTTTGATTTGTATGTAACGATATTTTCGTTATTATTTACGAAAGCATTACGAACGATGGTAAGAATTACATCGAAAATAATCATCCCTTCTAAAATACGAATTGTTTTGGATGGCGTTCGATCTGTTTTAGTTTTAAGAGGGGACTTAGTAAAGTGTGAAATAGAGAGAGAGAGAGAGAGGGAGAGAGGGAGGGAGAGAGAATAAAAGAATAAAAAACGTCTTTGAAAAAGGTAGCGCACGTGCCGGTGTTGCCC